CTTACAGTGAGCCAAGATGGCGCCACTGCACTCCAGCCTGGGTGACAGAGCGAGACTCCGTCTCAAAAAAAAAAAAAAAATTGGGAATCTGGCCCTGCACAGTGGCTCATGCCTGTAATCCCAGCACTTTGGGAGGCCGAGGCAGGCAGATCACCTGAGGTCGGGAGTTTGAGACCAGGCTGACCAACATGGAGAAACCCCATCTCTACTAAAAATACAAAATTAGCTGGAGTTGGGGGCGCATGCTTGTAATCCCAGCTACTCCGGAGGCTTAGGCAGGAGAATGGCTTGAACCTGGGAGGCGGAGGTTGCTGTTAGCCAAGACCATGCCATTGTACTCCAGCCTGGGCAACAGAACGAAACTCCATCTCAAAGAAAAAAAAAAAATTGAGATTCTACAAATTCTGTTTTCTATGATTCCAATTTATCTTTCTGTCTTGGATTATCTTGTTTTTAGGCTCAACTGGAGAAGCTGCAGGCAGAGATTTCACAAGCAGCTCGAAAAACAGGCATCCATACTTCGACTAGGCTTGCCCTCATAGCTCCTAAGAAGGAGCTAAAGGAAGGAGATATTCCTGAAATTGAGTGGTGGGACTCTTACATAATTCCCAATGGCTTTGATCTGTGAGTTTGTTTTAGTACCTTTTTAAAAAAACAGTTTTTAATCAGCCGAGTTTAAGATTCAAGTTAATACCTTTTAGTAAAGCTAGTGGGAAGGATGGTACTCATTCATTAATTAAAATTTTAAAATCCAAGAAAGATAAGTAACTGTACACAAGCTCCTGTGTTTTTTGTTTTGTTTTGTTTTGTTTTTTTTTTGAGAGGGAGTCTCGCTCTGTCACCTAGGCTAGAGTGCAGTGGCACGATCTCAGCTCACTGCAACCTCCACCTCCTGGGTTCAAGAGATTCTCCTTGAATTCTCCTTGAACCTCAGCCTCCCGAGTAGCTGGGACTACAGGTGTGCACCACCGCGCCTGTCTGCTTTTTGTATTTTTGGTAGAGAGAGGGTTTTGCCATGTTGGCCAGGCGGGTCTCGAACTCCTGACCTCAGGTGATCTGCCCGCCTTAGCCTCCCAAAGTGTTGGGATTACAGGCATGAGCCACTGCACCAGGCCAAGCTCCTGCATTTGTGATGTATCATATAGGTTGTTTTTAGCTTTTGGGGTTAATGTAGGATAACCAGGGACACAAATAATCTACAAAAGCAAAGTCTGTAATTATTTTTGCTCTGTTACACATTGTTGCCTGTTTTTAGCATTATTTTCCTTAATTACATTCTTTTGCTACATATTATAGGTGTTTACATTTCCTAAAGATCTCATTGTGATAGAGCAAGGATTATTAGTTGGTAGGTGAGATAATTGTAAATATATCTTATAAGGCTGGGCTTGGTGGCTGACACCTGTTATTTCCAGCACTTTTGGAGGCTGAGGGCTGAAGGATTGCTTGAGCCCAGGAGTTAAAGACCAGCTTGGGCAATATGGTGAGACCTCATTTCTATAAAAATTAAAAAAGAAAAAAAAAGTAGCTGGGCATGGTGGGTTGGCTACCCAGGAGGCTGATGTGAGAGAATCACTCAAGCCCAGGAGTGTCTGTGCTGCAGTTAGCTATGACCATGACCACTGCACTCTAGCCTGGACAACAGAGTGAAACTCTGTCTCAAAAAAAAAAAAGGATATAAGACAGTTGAGGAGCTTTAAATATATCTGCTCCATCATTCTTTTTTTTTTTTTCTTCTGTCTGTGACAGTTTCGCTTTTGTTGCCCAGGCTGGAGTGCAATGGCGCGATCTGGGCTCATTGCAACCTCCGCCTGACAGGTTCAAGTGATTCTCCTGCCTCAGCCTCCCAAGTAGCTGAGATTACAGGCATGCGCCACCACACCTGGCTAATTTTTTGTGTTTTTAGTAGAGACGGGTTTCTCCGTGTTGGTCAGACTGGTCTTGAACTCCCGACCTCAGGTGATCCACCCGCCTCAGCCTCCCAAAAGTGCTGGGATTACAGGCATGAGTCACTACGCCCGGTGTTTTTGTTTTGTTTTGTTTTTTGTTTTTTAAAGACAGAGTCTCACTCTGTTGTCTGAGCTGGGAGTGCAGTGACATGATCTCGGCTCACTGCAACCTCTGTCTCCTGGGTTGAAGCGATTCTCCTAGCTCAGCCTCCTGAGCATCCAGTACGACAGGCAAATACCACCACACCTGGCCAGTTTTTATATTTTTAGTAGAGAAGGGTTTCACTGTTTGGCAAGCTGGTCTCAGACTCCTGACCTTAGGTGATCCACCTGCCTTGGTGTCCCAAAGTGCTGGGATTATAGGCATAAGCCACTGCGCCTGGCCCTGCTCCATCATTCTGATACATGGCTTTAGTAGATTTTATCTTAGCCTTTCCTTGCCCATTCTTTGTCAGCCACTGTTCCAGGGACTTATTGTCACTAATGAGAGAACATAGCATCTGTCAGCTGTGGCATGGTAGAAAAAAGGTTGGGAATGACTGCTATGGAGAGTGTGTTCAACCATAGAGGGACTCAGTTCTCTCATCATAAAAATTATATGTAATTTAATTATATATTTTAGGTACGTAAATGCTATTTTAGGTATATCAAGCGCAAGAACCCATTATGGAGAATGGATTTTTTCATTGTATTTCTGAGACTCCTCTCTTAGAATCATCTCTACCCACATATCGCGTTTTCTTTCCTTCCTACAATTTTAGTACAGAGGAAAATCCCAAGAGAGAAGATTATTTTGGAATCACAAATCTTGTTGAACATCCAGCCCAGCTCAATCCTCCAGGTAATGTATAGATTCCTGAATCAAGTCTCTAGAGCAGCATTATCCACTGGAAATTTATACAGCACTGTTCAATACAGTAGCCACTATCCATGTGTAATTCTTTTTTTTTTTTTTTTTTTTTTTTGGCATTTTGCTCTACATGTGCATATATATTTAGGATAGTTAGCTCTTCTTCTGCAAGCTCCGCCTCCCGGGTTCACGCCATTCTCCGGCCTCAGCCTCCCGAGTAGCTGGGACTACAGGCGCCCGCCACCTCGCCCGGCTAGTTTTTTGTATTTCTTAATAGAGACGGGGTTTCACCGTGTTAGCCAGGATGGTCTTTTTTTTTAATTCAGTTTTTTTCCTAACAATAGTTTGCAGTTTGACCAGTGAACATACATTTTAAGTGCATATTCCTGTGCTTAGAATTTCATGAGACAGCCAAGCATGGTGGCTCATGCCTCTAATCCAAACACTTTGGGAGGCCAAGGCAGGAGAATCGCTTGAGGCCAAGAATTCAAGACCAGTCTGGGCAACACAGTGAGACCCATCTCAAGGAAAAATAATTTGGCTGGATATGGTGGCTCATGCCTATAATCACTGCACTTTGGGAGGCTGAGGTGGGCAGATTACTTGAGCTCAGGAGTTCCAGATCTGGGCAGCATAGCAAAACCCCATCTCTACAGAAAATAAAATCAGCCGGACATGGTGGCGTGCATCTATAGTCCCAGCCTCTTGGGAGGCTGAGGTGTGGAGGATGGCTTGAGCCTGGGAGGTAGAAGTTGCAGTGAGCTGAGATGGCGCTGCTGCACTCCAGCCTGGGTGATACTGCCAGACCTTGTCTCTTAAAAAAAAAAAGAACCCCAAAAATTTCATGAAGCTTTACATTTACAGTTCCCTGGTTGTTCCTAGGAAGCAGCCCTCAGCTTGCTCCTTTTATAGAACCACATGTTGTCATGGCATCCATAGCTAAATGCAAATGGAAGAGCTAAACTCTTGGTTTGGTGTGTTATTAGATGCGATATGCTCCACTACCCACTGTGAGGGATGCTGACTCCAAAGGACTTTTTGTTAGTTTCCCAAAGTTGAAACTGGGAAACAAAGTCGCTTTTTTTTTTTTTTTTGAGATGGAGTTTCACTTTTGTCACCCAGGCTGGAGTGCAGTGGCGCGATCTCCATTCACTCATTCACTACAACTTTCACTCCCTGGCCAGGTTTAAGCGATTCTCCTGCCTCAGCCTCCCAAGTAGCTGGGATTATAGGTCCCCACCACCACACCTGGCTAGTTTTTGTACGTTTAGTAGAGACAGGGTTTTGTCATGTTGATCATGCTGGTCTTGAACTCCTGACCTCAAGTGATCCTCCCACCTCAGCCTCCTAAAGTGCTGGGTTTACAGGTGTGAGCCACCGCACCTGGCCCTAATTTTGTTTTCTGCATTTGCCAGGGATCATTGAATGAGGGGGTTTAACAGCTTAAAGGAAAACAACTAAGAACACTACTTAAGAAAGAGGCTGGGCGCGGTGGCTCACGCCTGTAATCCCAGCACTTTGGGAGGCTGAGGCAGGTGGATTATGAGGTCAGGAGTTCGAGACCAGCCTGGCCAATATGGTGAAACCCTGTCTCTACTAAAAATATAAAAATTATTGGGGAGGGGGTGGTGCGTGCCTGAAGTCCCAGCTGCTCGGGAGGCTGAGGCAGGAGAATCGCCTGAATCCTGAATCCGGGAGGCAGAGGTTTCAGTGAGCCGAGATCGTGCCACTGCACTCAAGCCTGGGTGACAGAGCGAGAAATGACCGGGCGCGGTGGCTCACGCCTGTAATCCCAGCACTTTGGGAGGCCAAGGCAGGCGGATCATGAGGTCAGGAAATTGAGACCTCTGGCTAACAAGGTGAAACCCCGTCTCTACTAAAAATACAAAAATTAACCAGGCCTGGTGGTGGGTGCTTGTAGTCCCAGCTACTCGGGAGGCTGAGGCAGGAGAAATGGTGTGAACCTGGGAGGCAGAGCATGCAGTGATCAAGATCGCACCACTGCAACTCCGGCCTGGGCAACAGAGCGAGACTCCGTGTCAAAAAAAAAAAAAAAAAAAAAGATAAGAATGTTTTTTAAAAATATACTGCTGGGCACCAGGCCTGAACTGATTTTAATCTTACTGATCCCTTATTAACGAGTTTTCTCCGTTTTCTATTTAAAGTTTATATATATATACACACAGACACACACACATATTTTTTTTTTTAGATGGGAGTCTCGCTCTATCGCCAGGCTAGAGTGCAGTGGCACAATCTCAGCTCACTGCAACCTCCACCTCCTGGATTCAAGTGATTCTGCTGCCTCAGCCTCCCGAGTAGCTGGGACTACAGGCGTGTGCCACCATGCCCAGCTAATATTTGTACTTTTAGTGGAGTCGGGGTTTCACCATGTTGGCCAGGCTGGTCTCGATCTCTTGACCTTGTGATCTGCCCGCCCCTGCCTCCCAAAGTGCTGGTATTACAGGCATGAGCCACTGCACCTGGCCTCAATATATTTTTTACATAAAATGTTTATAATAGAGTTGAGTCTCACTTGGTTGTCCAGGCTGGTCTGGAACTCCTGGGCTCAAGCAATCCTCCCACCTTGGCGTACCAAAGTGCTTTAGGCATAAGCCACTGCGTCCAGCCTAAAGTTTCTTTTAATGATATTGATATTTACCTAGGTCTCTTTAATATTCTTATTGCTGTCCAGGCATGGTGGCTCATGCCTGGCCAACATGGTGAAACCCCGTCTCTACTAAAAATACAAACATTAGCCAGGCATGGTGACATGTGCCTGTAATCCTAGCTACTCGGGAGGCTGAGGCAGGAGAATTACTTGAACCCAGGAGGCAGAGGCTGCAGTGAGCTGAGATCGGGCCGTTGCACTCCAGCCTGGGTGACAGAGTGGGGGGGGAAAAATATATATATATAATTTTCTTATTGCTTTGGTATACTAATCTCTGCCCTGACAGTTGACAATGACACACCAGTTACTCTGGGAGTATATCTTACCAAGAAGGAACAGAAAAAACTCCGGAGACAAACAAGGAGGGAAGCACAGAAGGAACTACAAGAAAAAGTCAGGCTGGGCCTGATGCCTCCTCCAGAACCCAAAGGTACATCTCTTAGTGGCCTCTGCTGTTAAAAAGAGTGGCAAGTTTATGTCTTTAATTCTGGAGGAACTTTAACATCTCTCTATGTCTGAGTGATTTCTGTTTCTAAGAATCATTCTTGGGGTCTTTTTTTTCCAAGTGTTCTACCATCTTTTCATATTAAGATAGGTCAACACATTCATTATAGAGGCCATTTAAGGCTTATTTTTAAGCATACTGATCATACAACACTCTGGTTTTCCTGGAAGAATACAGGTCTTGAAATTCATGGAGATAGTAGTTGCAGTATTTGGGTAGACTTTTTATGTACATAATTCTTAATGTTTTAATTTTTACAATGAAAGTACAGGATAAAGAAATTGCCCCTGTAGTTACATTCTCGTTCAGCAATATTTTGACTGAGGACTGTTATGTATAAACTCTCACTAGATGCTGTGATAAGTACCAATCTTCAACTTAATTGTGTGAACTTCTGCAAATGCTGAAGTGATTGGGTTAGATTTTCAAGGTAGTAGTTATTGGAGGAAGTGAGTTTAGAAGCAGAGATTTGAAATAGGTAAATAATATGAATTGCTGTAGAAGAGGTAACAAGTTACTCCAGCTGGAGAAGTGACTTCAAAGATTGACTGCTGTCCTCTCTTCACTGCAGTGAGAATTTCTAATCTGATGCGAGTATTAGGAACAGAAGCTGTTCAAGACCCCACGAAGGTAGAAGCCCATGTCAGAGCTCAGATGGCAAAAAGACAGAAGTAAGTGCCATGGGATTGGGTGGAAACCCCGGGCAAGGACCTTTCCCAAACTCTTCTGGGGGATCCATATTTGGAGGGAGGGGAGAGTTCTCCGTTGCTCTCTCTTTCCCTCAGCCCTGCCTCTGATCTTCAATGCCTTTCTCACTTGTGGATGTCCTTCCTGTCACGACAGAGCGCATGAAGAGGCCAACGCTGCCCGAAAACTCACAGCAGAACAGAGAAAGGTCAAGAAAATTAAAAAGCTTAAAGAAGACATTTCACAGGGGGTACACATATCTGTATATAGGTAGGTGTCCGTACTGGGCCGACCTTCCCCTTAGAATTACTAAAACATTTTCCAAGTGCTTGAGGCAGAATCATTGTGGCCTAAAAGCATACCTGACACCAGTTCCTACTCTCTTTTAATGACCCTAGTGTGGATCAAGAGCTAGTAAATCTTGTAAAATAGCGAGGGTTAATGACTTATGTTTATGGTTATCCAAGTCTTCCCTCTGAAGTCTTCTTTTTTAACCAGACTATTAGTTCTGAAAAAATGAACAAATCAATATACTTGTTCAGGCCAAGATATGAACTAAAGATTGTATGTCCTTTGAGGACTATAAAATATCATCCTATTTCTTTTTTTTTTTTCATCTTTTTTTTTTAAATGGTCTGAGTTTGCTTCCAACATCCATGGAAGCATTACAAATTTTCTTTCCTCGGTAGTCATATCCTTACCCTGATGTATTGCTGTGTTTCATCCTCACTCCAAAATGCGTTTTATATGTTGTAAATATTTTTCTACCTTTGTGTTGATTTAATGTTTTTGTTTTTTTATGTTGAGTACATGTTTATATTCTATTTTTAAAATGTGCTTATTTCTATTAACTAGTTCTTTATTATAAAAGTACATTATTACAAAAGTAGTGAATGTTTATTAAGATTTAAAAAATTGTCTGACAGTACAGAAGAACACTTACTCAGAATGTCTCCTTTCTATTCTGTGATCCCTTAGAACCACTCTCTTTAGGTAATTGCTATTAACAGTTTTTCACATCTCCTCCTAGAAAATTTTCATGCCTATATAGTGATCCTATATAGATTTCATTTGTTTATTTATTTATTTATTTGAGACAGAGTTTCAGTCTTGTTGCCCAGGCTGGAGTGCAGTGGCACAATCTCGGCACACTGCAGCCTCTGCCTCCCAGGTTCAAGCGATTCTCCTGCCTCAGCCTCCTGAGTAGCTAGGATTACAGGCATGCACCCCCACGCCTGGCTAATTTTTGTGTTTTTAGTAGAGATGGGGTTTCACCATGTTGGCCAGGCTGGTCTTGAACTCCTGACCTCGTGATCTGCCCACTTTGGCCTCCCAAAGTGCTGGGATTACAGGTGTGAGCCACTGCGCCAAGCCGAGTAATCCTATATTATGAGGGTCTAAGGGTCTAGAGGACAAAAAGTCTGTAGGTCTTTACATTGTCAAGAACAATGAGATTATAAGCATTTTTGGATAATAGTAAATACCTCTCCCTGATTCTTAGAGTAAACTTTGGTTACCTGCTATTGTGTAATGTAAAGTGCTAGACTTTGAAAAAATATAAGAGTGTGGAAATATTTCTAGACTCATCAACTCTACCTTTTAAGCATTCATCTATTTGTTTACTCCAGAGGCCTTTGTTTATAGAGAGGAAACCATTTGGGATTCATCTCTACTTGCCACTCCATTCAGGCAGCTGCTGATGCTAAAATGGAAGACATAACTAAACTTTCCCTTCTCCAGAGTTCGAAATTTGAGCAACCCAGCCAAGAAGTTCAAGATTGAAGCCAATGCTGGGCAACTGTACCTGACAGGGGTGGTGGTACTGCACAAGGATGTCAACGTGGTAGTAGTGGAAGGGGGTGAGTCTGAAAAACTTGAGGGAGACTGTCCCCAGACAACCCTGGGCTTAGAGTGATTAGCATTGTGGGGAGAAAGGAGAAAAAGATAGTATTTTAGTGCCATACCTGATATAATATGCTAGGTCATTGCTTCTGTGTTTATTGGAATAGAAGGCCCTAAGATGTGGTCCTGGGATTGCTTCAACTACCACATTAATGTCTAAGCTCAGAGGTTCTTTCTAACCCATCGTCTTCCACAGTTCTGGCAAAATTCTTCTTCTCTGTTTCCAGGCCCCAAGGCCCAGAAGAAATTTAAGCGTCTTATGCTGCATCGGATAAAGTGGGATGAACAGACATCTAACACGAAGGGAGATGGTGAATGGGGGTTAGAGGGGATTAAGTGGGAGAGCTGTGGGAGGTGGGGATGGTGCATCTGTCCATTCATTTTATTCCCTCCCTGTGACACTCTTGCTAACACTAGATAGTGTTCAGGAATTTTAGAAAGACCCATTTAGACTTTGAGCCTCCTAGACATTCATATAATATTTACTATATAATTATATGCATGAATGGTAAAGCTTTTTTTTTTTTTTTTTTTTTTGCCTATCATTTAAGGCTTTTCTACCTGCTGGTTTCTGTGTCTGTCCTGGATCTGAGTACTGGTTATATGAATTTATTCAGTATTTGAAAATTCAGCAAGCAGCTAGGCATGATGGCTCCTGCCTGTAATCCTAGCACTTTGGGAGACTGAGGCGGGCAGATTGCCTGACGCCAGGAGTTCGAGACCAGCCTGGGCAAACAACGTGGTGAAACCCCATCTCTACAAAAAGTACAAAAATTTGCTGGGTGTGGTGGCACACACCTGTATTCCCAGCTACTCAGGAAGCTGAGGTGGGAGGATCACTTGAGCTTGGGGAGGTCAAGGCTGCAGTAAGCTGTGATTGTGCCACTGCAATCCAGCCTGGGTGACAGAATGAGACCCTGTCTCAAAAAGAAAAAGCAAATCCAGTAAGCTATACATTCATGTGTACAGTGTCTATATTATTATTTGATTTTTTTTTTTTTTTTTAAGGATTGAAGGCAAAAAGATTTTCAGGTCAAAAAAGCTCTGCTTTGATCAAACTACTTTTTCTTTTGCCTGTTTTTTTAATATATATATATATACACATACACATATATGTATACATGTACATGCTCACACATATGCTCCTCAACTTATGATGGGGTTAGTTCCAATAAACCTAAGATAAGTTGAAAATATCGTTAAGTCAAAGATGCATTTAAGGCCAGGCGCAGTGGCTCACACATATAATCCCAGCACTTTTGGAGGCCCAGGAAAGCAGATCATTTGAGGTCTGGAGTTCGTAACCAGCCTGGCCAACATGGTGAAACCCCATCTCTACTAAAAACACAAAAATTCGGGGCATGGTGGTGGGCCTCTGTAATCCCAGCTACTCGGGAGGCTGAGGCAGGAGAATCGCTTGAACCTGGGAGGCGGAGGTTGCAGTAAGCTGTGATTGCACCACTGCACTCCAGCTTGGGTGACAGAGTGAGACTCCATCTCAAAAAAAAAAAAAAAAATGCATTTAATACATCTGATCTTTAGGACATCATAACTTAGCCTAGCCTTCCTTAAACTTTCTCAGTATACTTAGATTAGCCTACAGCTGGGCAAAATCATCTTACACAAAGCCTATTTTTATCTCACGTAAGAGTATTTTACTGCATATTGCTAGCCCAGGAAAATCTCAAAATTTAAAATTTGAAGTACATTTTCTACTAAATATTTATCACTTTCACACTGTACTCAAGGCAAAAAATTCTAAGTCAAGGACTGTCTGTATCTGACATGCTTCTGGCCATCATACTTCCATTAGTGTTCATTCTCATCTTTGAAGACCTGGATTAGCATTTAAAATCTGCAGAGAGGCTGGGCGTGGTGGCTCATGCCTGTAATCCCAGCACTTTGGGAGGCTGAGGTGGGTGGATCACCTGAGGTCAGGAGTTTGAGACCAGCCTGACATGGTGAAACCCCGTCTCTACTAAAAAATACAAAAATGAGCGGGGCATGGCAGTGTGTGCCTGTAACCCCAGCTACTCGGGAGGCCTAGGCAGGAGAAGCATTTGGAACGGGGGAAGCGGAGGTTGCAGTGAGCCAAGATTGTACCACTGCACTCCAGCCTGAGTGAGAGAGTGAGACTCTGTCTCAAAAAAATAAAAATATAAATAAAATCTGCAGAGAGTTCATCTTAAGAGACCCAAGAATAAAAAATAAAATCTACAGAGAGCCTTTTCTTAACTTTACCTAACTAGCCTTCCTGACTTTTTGTCCTTGAAATATTTAAAGTACATTTTTGTAATATAATTGGTGTATATTTTATTTTGTTTTACACGTGCATTTTTTTTTTTTTTTTTTTGAGATGGAGTTTTTGCTCTGTTGCCCAGGCTGGAGTGCAGTGGCACCATCTTGGCTCACAGCAACCTCCGCCTCCCAGGTTCAAGTGATTCTCCTGCCTCGGCCTCCTGAGAAGCTGGGATTACAGGCACCCGCCACCACGCCTGGCTAATTTTTGTGTTTTTAGTAGAGATGAGGTTTCACCATGTTGGCTAGGCTGTTCTGAAACTCTTGACTTCAAGTGATCCACTCACCTCAGCCTCCCAAAGTGCTAGGATTACAGGCGTGAGCCACCACACTGGCCGATAATTTTGATTTGGTATATCTGCCTTCCTCCATTGGGCGAAAGTTTTTTGAGAGTAATAAATGATGTTGACATCTGAAGCCTGCTTCCCAGAGTACCTAGGACAAGTTTTTATTCTTGACTGCTTGTCTTTTATTTCCTTATTCCCAGTACCTGTTACAGCTCTTGATTCATAACAAGTGCTAAGTAAATGCTAATTGTATCAATTAATATTCCTTTTTACTTGGAGCTTCACGTCTAATTTGGGGAAAATAAAGAGCAACAGAAAATAAAACATTTGGTCCAACACATAAAAAGGGTGACAATATTTAAGAGAGTTTGGTTAGACTTGAGTATTGTTTCTTTAGAACCTGAATCTCAAGTCTAAGTCTATAACAAGATTTCTCTTCCAGATGATGAGGAATCTGATGAGGAAGCTGTCAAGAAAACCAACAAATGTGTACTAGTCTGGGAGGTAGGTGATCCTTTGTAAAACATTGTAAAACTTTAGCCAACTCCTGATTATTTATACTATTTAAGTAGAGCAATGGAATGTAAGATCTAATCAGTGAATAATTCCTTAAATAATTTATGTTTCTTTTTGGAATCCATTTTTAAATGGTTGGCAATAAATTCTTCCTGATCATCTGTTTAGTTAAATTGATGAGTATTTAGTATATGCTATCTGGGGAAGTGTGTGGACAGTGCTGCTGGTAGCAGGAATACAAATTCTCTACCAAAAATTGTTTATTTCACAGTCATGAATATGAGACTTGGAAAGAGGGGAATGAATTGCTGTGGGATTTACCTTTGGATATAGTGAAGGAAGTATGATACTTAAGAATATAAAGTTAGGAGGCTGGGCAGTGCTGCTTATTAGCTGTGTAATCTGCGCAAGACACTTAATGTCAAATTCTGTTGCCTTAGCTATAAAATATGGATACTGTTTGCTATCTATATTGTCAATTTTTTGAGAATGAAATTAGATAATTGTGTGATAGTACTTCATAAAATGTGACTAAATCACTCTTCAAGTGGAATATTTTTTATGGTTATCTAGTTCTTTAATCCTTGAAGGCTTCTTAGAGAACCAGTATTAAAACCAGTATTAATGTTTTCATGTTTGTTTTTAGGTATAGTACATGTATATCTTTTTTGGGGGTGGGTGGAGGGCACGGAGTTTTGCTCTTGTTGCTCTGTCGCCCAGGGTGGAGTGCAATGGTGTGATCTCGGCTTACCGCAACCTTTACCTCCCGGGTTCAAGCAATTCTTCTGCCTCAGCCTCCCAAGTAGCTCCGAGTCCAGGAGATCCGAGACCATCCTGGCTAACATGGTGAAACCCCGTCTCTACTAAAAATCAAAAAACTAGCCGGGCGTTGTGGCGGTGCCTGTAGTCCCAGCTACTCGGAGGCTGAGGCGGGAAGAATGGCATGAACCCGGGAGGCGGAAGCTTGCAGTGAGCCGAGAATCACGCCACTGCACTCCAGCCTGGGAGACACAGTGAGACTCCGTTCTCAAAAAAAAAAAAAAAAATTGTTTAAAAAAAAGATAATATGCAGGTGGGAACTTATTAAACAGAGAACAAATACTATGGTTATTATCATCTAATTTGTTGCATTAAATTGAAGATCTGGGATACAGGCAGAAGGATACATGAAAACCTTTTTTTAATTTTTATTTTTTTGATTGCTCCTTCAGAAGAAAAACTATTAAAGCAATTACCTATAAAGACTGGTCTGAAGAGATCAGAGAGAATTAGGAAGAGACCTTTTGTTTTTGGAGAAACAGTCTCGCACTGTCGCCCAGAGCTGGAGTGCAATGGTGTGATCTCGGCTCACTGTAACCTCCGCCTCCCGATTCAAGCGATTCTCCTGCCTCAGCCTCCCAAGTAGCTGCATTACAGGCACCGGCCCACCACGCCCAGCTAATTTTTGTATTTTTAGTAGAGACGGGGTTTCCACCATGTTGGCCAGGTTGCTCTCAAATTCCTGACCTCGTGATCCGCCCGCCTTGGCCTCCCAAATGCTGATTACAGGCGTGAACCACCATGCCCGGCCTGAGACTTTTTCTTTTTTTGTTAAGACAGGGTCTCACTCTGGTGCCCAGGCTGGAGTCCAGTGGCACATCACAGCTCACTGCAGCTTCAACCCCAAGCTGTGACAGCAATCCTGCCCCACCTCAGCTTCTCAAGTAGCGGGACTACAAGCAGACACCACCAGGCCTGGCTAATTTTTGTATTTTTTGTAGTGACGAGGTTTCCCCATGTTGCCCAGGCTGGTCTTGAACTCCTGAGCTCAAGTGATCCAACCACTTCATCCTCTCAAAGTGCTGGGATTAAGGCGAAGCCACTGTGCTGGGTCTCAGTAAGTACTCTTCTGTATAATTAGAATTTTTTTTTTTTTTTTTTTTGAGACGGAGTCTGGCTCTGTCCCCAGGCTGGAGTGCGTGGCCGCATCTCAGCTCACCTGCAAGCTCCGCCTCCGGGTTTATGCCATCTCCCTGCCATCGCCTCCAAGTAGTTGGACTCCAGGCGTCGCCACCATCGCCGGCTAG